TTTTTTATCGCAATGCTCAATAAATGAAATGAAATTTTATAAATTAAATGGGTTCCCATCTAAAGAAAGATTAAACTATATGTCTACAAAGTTTTTAATGTCCACTATGGAGCAAAATTGAAACTAGTAAAGATGTGGTCACTCGTGACCGATGAAAGTGCATTTTTCTGCACAGAATTCAAGTAGAAAACTTAACACAATTGAAACATAAAGGGCAGAAAATATTTGAAAATAACGAACAATTTGATCACTTTGATAAGCTAGTGAGATGTAGATCTTCCAATACGAAAGACGCACTGCTGGCTTGGGATGATGTTGTTATCCTCAAGATGATCGTTGATTCTGTTCAGCAATACTCTCTCCAGTATTTTGCTTATTGAGCTGAGTAGACTTATTGGCCTGTAGCATAACTCATTCGCTGGTTTTCGAGTTTTTGTGATTGGAATCACTTTTGCGTGTTTCCAAACTTTGGGGAAGTGATTAAGTTTGAGACACGAACTAATGATGAATTTCAAGTATTCGAAACCATTTTCCGGAAGATTTTTGACGAGTATGTTGTTGACTTCATATATAATGATCACGATCAGTAATTTCTAGACTTTAAAAAAAAATTATTTTTATTTTTACTTTTAAATTATTACTTCAGTATTTCTTATAATAAATTTTTAAGAGTTCAAGCAGCAGCTTTTTCATCTTAAATGTTGATTTCATATAAATCCGACTAGATATTCCCTTGAATCGAACCAGGGTCGTTAGGGATGCACAATGATTCAGATTTGAAAAAAGTGTTTAAAAATTCCTTGTGCACAATATTATTCCGACACATTAGAAAATTGAAAGTTTTTGTTAATTTCTCTTGATTTGATTCTTTTAGCATCTTCTACATAATGTTTTCGTTCATTGCTCAACAACTCTGCCCATAATATAAAGGATAAACATTATTTTTGAGCAAAAGCATGTAAAAGTTTATCAAAAAATATTATGCATGATCAAATTTTGTACGAAAATTTATGTAAACTTTGATCGCAAATATCTCGAAAACGGCATCAAACGGCATGACCATATTAATATGGGAGATAGATTCAAGCTTGTGCAATTGATATATATAGGTTTCAGAGAAGACTTTGGAAGACTTTTTAACTTATGAATAGTTTAAGTTTTCTAAAAATACTCAGATTTTGCAAAAGTTAGCAAAATATCGAAATAACAACCTAAAATAGAGAAAATCAAAGAATTTTTTCCATATACAGAATAGAATGTAATGTAGGGTTTTGCTAATAGCAAAAGCGGCACTGCGATCGATGATCTGTTGTACCATCCCAAGTCCCCTATGTTAGAATTCCGATGTCCTTAATGAAGCCAATAATATCCTGATAATGCTGCTTATTTATATCCTCATCATTCAAATAGTCCTCATCAAAATGCTTGACACGTTGTCCTCGCAATGACCTACATTTACAAAGTATATGAATGATCATATACAAATTGTAAGCAAATTTTTGGTAAGAATAAATTAAAGTTTTTTGGCGTTAGACATCAAATTGGGACGAGATATTTTCATAGGATATGCCTCAAGTTAAGATCTTTATTCTGGCATTCAAAAGATAAAGTTTAATTAATATGATAATTTTGAATTTTTGAACATTTTTTTCGAATCTCAATCATTGTGGGATGGTTGGTCAACACTCTAACCACTACGCGTTCGTTGCTCATTTCGATTACTTAAGCAAACAAAATATTGATATTGGTTGCACTTCAAAAACATTCCATTCACATTCCATTGCAAACATAATCAAAAGAAATCTAAAACACAAAACTAATGGAATGCATTGGAACCAATGACATGGATAGTTGTCACATCCTCTTAGTCTATCTTCCAGGAAAAAGCAAAGGAAGGAAGATAGATCAGCATCTCTTCACAGGTTAGAGGTAAGGTGAGGGTAGAGTACACCGAGAAACCTACCCCTGAAGGATTCTTTAATATTTATAATAATGAAGAAGTATTAAGCAAAGAATGTAAACAATTCTATACGAAATATATGGCAATGGCACTGGTCATATTTTTCTTTTCTCTTTGCTGTTTATGTTATTGTTGCAGAACACGTATTAAAAGCTTATACTGATTTATATTTTTGATTTGAAATGTTTTGGTGTTATTACATTCACATAAAAATTGTGTGAACGATATGTGTGTAAGGTAAGGATAAATATGTGTATTTTTGAAGGATAGGGCACGAAATGGTTATTTAACATTTTCGGTATTTTGATGGTGAAAAACAAAGCAATAAAAATTCTGTATTAAGAAAGGGAAAATCCTTAAATTGTTATTTTAGCACCCTTTCATACTTGTTTTTCAATGTCTGACACCTTTTGATTCTTTTAAATGTGAATTTCATTCCATGAAATTATGTTTTTTTTTCTTTTTACTTTGTGGGTGATACCAACCTTAAGTAAGGGTGATAAGTTTTTACCAACCTTCTCTTTAGAAATCATATGGAGAGGGGAATAGAAAACCACCCTGATACAAAATTTCTTCAAAATTTAAAATTTTTAATTTCTATTTTTTTTAAACTAAAGTTTTATTCATAATACACTATGGTATGCAAAACATAAGAATTATTAGAACAGATTGTTTATTAAAAGACATTATATAGCAATAAAATCAGCTGTAGGCTTAGTGTGTTGCAAGCTAATACATTAAGAAATAAAGTATTAAATTTAGAAAAGTCTTTCCTTATTTTCTGAAAAATGGGTTTGTAAAATAGAAAAAAAGAGCTGTTGAAATGGTTGATAATCAGTAGCTTTGCTTTATATCTAGATTAGTTGGAATTATTCCATTTTCCAAAAAGATATGAGAGACTTCCAGTGGAAGTTATTTTTAAAAAAGTTCTCATATTCCAAAATGGATACAAAATGTAGAATAAGAAGAAACCAAAGGAAAATTTTTAAACATGCGCCCGGTAGGAAATGAGAAAATCTATGAATGAAGCAGAAAAAAGAAATTTACGACACAGAGATTATGTGAAAATTTTTTTATAATGATAATAAAAAAAAAATGATGAAAGTAAAGAAGCACATTATGAACCAACAGCCAGCAAAAATCTTAAAAAATATTTTTGCGACAACGTCTTTTAATGCAAACAAATTAATCGTTTTCTAATCTTCTTATAATACAACAAAGTGTTGTAAAATTTTTTATTTTGCATATTTGCTTGCTTGCATATTTGCAAGATCATTGCAGCATTCATTTTACAACAATCATGTTAACATTAAAGCAACGTTAGAAAGGAAGAAAGACAAATAATTTGGAAATAATTTCTATTTGTAGAGCTGTAAAATAAAATTTCAAAGAAGAAATTATAAAGATACTTTCTATGGTTTTATATATATATATATATATATATATATATATATATATATATTATTACATTTTATGGTTTTAACAATTTATAGCTAAGAAAATAATTAACAGTTTTAGTTGCAAAAGCTCAATAACAATATTTTAACTTATATTTCTGTGAACTTTCATTGATAATTTATTTTGTTTTGACTTTGAAGAGATATTATACATTCGGCATTTTATCGTTTAATCCCTTGTCTTTTTTTCACACGTCTTTATTCCTTTACTTCACTTTATTTCACTCAATCGCTGCCATGACAGCAATATAAAATCTTTATAAATTTTTGATGACGCTTCAGCTTGATGTAATCAACAAACATAAATTAGATGGAATAAAAGTGGCATACAAAAAGCATGAGTTTGGGAGTTTTTGAAGAATTTTTCTGAACATATGTGTGCGATGACTGTCATATACGTCGCATATTGTTGATGTTCTCATAAAAATATATATTCGTTTTTTCGTTCTTCTTCCTCTTGCCCTCATCACATTGAATCTACATACACGTTTAGATGTAAAAAGATGAGATAATGTATATACATAGTCAGTAAAAATGAAGTAAATAAGCATGTAAGTAAATTCATACATATAGAAGCTTGATGAAAAGTTAAATATAAATGAACATTGACTTGTGTAATAAAGTTATTTTTTGCCTTTTTTCACTTTCTTTCGTCAACAAAAAATAATAATATAAAAATATTATTAGAAATAAAATCGAAGGGAAAAAGAGACAAGACAAATTAAGAAGGCAGAAAAGCAAACACCAGAACAGAGATGGAAATTAAATTAAAGTAATTTATTGATTTTTTATCATAAACTATTGTAATACTCTGGAGCTATAGGAAAATAAAATAATGATTTTTTTTTATTTTCAAACTTTGAATCCCACTTGAAATACTTCAATCATTCATTAACTTTACTCCGGATTACAAATGGGTTTCAAAGTTTGATGATAATCCTGAGTGTATATACCTTGATTTTTAGCGCATTTTGAAACTTGTTTCTAAAAGGTAGCTTAATAATACATTTGGACTTGATCAAAAACTTAACCAGACATCGTAGAAAGCTCGAGTTTGTTTTATTTGCTCCGTTTCTATCGATTTATCGGCCCATTGAGTGGTTAAAAGTCTTGAAACCAAGTTTTTAAACTAAAATTAATGGTTTTTTTTATTTTATGTGAAAAAAACACGTGATGAGTTCGTTCAGAAATTTGAATTTTTGCCATTACAAAATATTTGAATTTCAAAATTCTTTTGAATTCAATTTCTTTCTTTGCGAAAATTGATTATGGTTAAATAAGTACCTATTTGCTTATTGACTTTAATTTTGTTGCTAAGAAAATACTGATCGCTTCGTCAAAAATGCGCCGAAGTCTCTTGATCAATTACGCGAGGACTTTTGTATTTTATTTTATCCTAATTCGCGAAGAAAACCAATTGAACTTTAAGTAAAGTCAGCTTTTTTCTTGAAAAATGTCTAGTACTTTTAGGTTATTTGGATTTTACAACTTATTTTTGTCTTCTTGATTGCTAATATTTCGTGGTTATCAACTTGAACTATAGTTTGAACAAAAGCTTTACGATATCTGTATAGAATCTTTTTTTAATCGTTTGTCATGTTTAAACACAATAAATGATCTCTTTTATCACTCCAGCCACCATTCTTTCTAAAAATGACATCTGGAATAGTTTCATAACCAATGTTTAGGGTTCGGGGATAAAAATTGTCCAAAGAAGACTGAAAACTTTCTACTAAATTTGAAATAATGCCTTCAACGTTGCATTCTACATTGTTTAAAGTATGAGTCCCACATTGTCCTATATGAAAAACTCTAGGAGTGGATAAACTAAATGCCTGAAGTTTCTTGTCCATACATTTTCTACTAATGTGTTGAATACTCCAATCCCAATTGTAATCTAAACAAATAGATAATTAATGGATAAAATAATTAATTATTTGTTTTATAAAAAGAATTGTTTTGTGATACCATCGTAAGTGCAAAATATTTTTGAGCAATTTTTTATTTTGATCCACGTGTTTCTTTTGAAAGCCATTCCCATATTATGCTTGCTGGAAACCCACTCACTTATTATCACCTAAATCAATTAAAAGTGTTAAATAAAAATATAAAGTTAATAGCAAATAAAATAAATTCTTTAATATTTTCATGTGTCAGGTGGAATTTAAAATACAAAAATGCTTACATCATTGTTGATAAACGAAATATTGCTTGTTGGAACTTTATGTTTTCCTAAAACTAATATATTGCATTTTTTACACGATTCTGAAGCTTTATTGTCCATAAGTTTAAGCATATACAAAAAATCTGGTGCTACATAATGATCTTCTTCTAGAAAAAAAAAGTAACCATCATGGTTTTTTGTAACTGTAAGATGTTCAAAAATTCTATCCGCTTTCCACCTTAAAATATAAATTTAATAAAAATGTGTTTTTAATAGGAAAAAATAATTTATATTACCACCAATGATGCTTGATTTGTGCAAAAGTAGCTTCTCTATAGTGACCAAATGAATCTGGAGAATCGTAACTTTTACATTTAAGAACTTTTGCAGAATCTTGATTTGTATCACGCACACAATCTTCTGGGTCAGTTCCAGGAAACTCATTCGGATGTAACTGAATTGAGTGTGGAAAAAAAATTTGCAAAACCCGACAAAATTTAATACTGTTCACTATTTGGTTGATTTCATCATCAAAATAATCATGAGAAAATATAAGTAAAGTTTGAGATATATTGTATGCATTAGATAAACTTTTTATTAAATGGCGTAAATATTCCGATCGATTGTGTACTTGCACGATCAGAATTATAGAATCATTTGTTATGGGCTCTAGCATATCATTTAAAATATTTTGTTTTCTGTTTTGATTGATTATAAAAGACTTTATTGAAGTAATATCTGTTTTGTTGACTTTATATATTGTTGAAACATATTTTAATGTTGATTCTGTTGCTGTTTTCTTTTTTGCTACAAAACTAACATTAGATAAAGCTTTTCATATAAAATAAAAAATATTACTTACAATGTATATAAAAAAACTGAAAAAAGTATTGAAATACAATTATCATTGCAAACATTAATAAGAAACATCGAAAAATAAAAAATTGTTTTCTTTTAGCGACCATTTTAGGGATCATAAAACTTTTTTCGTTTGAACTGTTTAATATGATCGTAATTTTAAAGTCAATACTAGGAGTAAGATCTGAATTAAAAGTCTTTATAAAGATTAATTTGTGATGTATTGTAGTGATGAATGCTGTTATTTTTTGAGCATATCAATGTTTTATATCACTAAGTTTATAAGACACTAATGTATATCTTAATTTTAGATCTACATCAATATTAAAATTTAAAGAAAAAAATGTGTTTTTAATTTACACAGCAGTTTTATTGTTTATTAAGTTCTGTTTTTTTTTTGTATACAAACATGTTTGAAATATGTACATGACTTTTAGAAAACTGCTAAAACTTGAGGGTGACAAGATTAAATTGTTTCAAACTGTACACTCAATTGATAAAATGATGACTATGAGTTATGTAAGTCTGGGAAATTAAAAGTGTAAATTTCTTGAAGTATGAAAAACATCCGTCGTTGATAATATAAATATGAGCAATTCCACAGATCAATAAAATTTTGCGAAAAACAGCTTTTTCGATCCTTATTTTTATATATAAATAGTTGAAATTTTATTAAACAAAAACACGTACTTAATGATGTTTAAGAACTACAGTTACATGTCTTTATAAATGAAAAAAGTTATAATTATGTTTATTTTAAAAGTTTAGTTTAAATGATCAATTTTATAAATACATTTTAGGAAATTAATATCAAAAAATTTTATTTATGCATTTTTAAAATTAATTTTAAAAGCATTTTAATTAAAGAATAAACTACTTTGATGCTGGGATTTAAGTCCAGAAAATCAAAATCACTAAAGGTTTATAAGTCCAGATACAAATTGCACCTGGACTTAAAAACCTCACGTGCAGTTCATAATATAGATACAGCTGGAATTATAAACTACACGAGAGATTTTTAAGTCCACGTACATTTATATCTAGACTTATAAACCTTACGTGTGGTTTATGATTCCAGAAAATTTATAAATTTTACTTATAATCTTCCATTTCGATTATAATTCCAGATACATTTTTCTGGACTTATAATCCTTGAAAATTATTTCAAATGTTTATATTCACACCGTATTCACGTGTGAATCTATTGCTTTTGTTCAGATTGAAAATCAGTTTTTCGCATTTTGTGAGAAAACAAAGCAAAACAAAAAGTTTGTGCCTGAAATTTCACAATTTTAACTTGAATATTTTTGAAAATAAGTCTTAACATTTCGTGTTTTATAAAAAACCAAATTCTTTATTTCTATGATGATAATGCTTGATTAATGTTTGTTCCTGGTGATTTTAACAAGAAGACTTTAAACTCGTTAATATTCACGTATTTTTGGTTCTTGCAAGTTCCAACTGAATTTCGAATGTATAAAATATGTGCAGGACATACATCTATTCCTTGATGTTGTTTCTTGACGCAATTCAACCAAATGCTATCCATGTTAAATTTTGTATTTTGTGGACATTCTTGACCCAAAATTTGGTTAAAGCTTCCAAAAATTTGTATTGAAAAATGCCAAAGTTCCTATCAAAAAAGTGCGCAAATTATAAAATATTTTTGCGCAAATTTTAAAATTTCTGAGCATATTTCAAAATTAAAACTTAAATGTCAATTTTCTCTGAATTGATGCAGCACAACTACCTTTACATGATCAAAAATAAAAATATCGACGATTCTCAACATTTCAAGAACATTAGTAGGTCACAATATCAAATCGTCGATTAGTTACAAGCGTTTGAAAATTCCAAGTCTGAAAACACACAAATTTCAAAATGATTTACCCTATATGGTACTTTAGAGGAAAAAAAAATCAGAGAAAAGTGAATTCTTTGTGTGAAGTTTTAAAAAATTCACGTGAAGAATTACTTTAAAGGAAAAAATTTGAAATAATTTCAAATAATTTTCAAGGATAATAAGTCCAGAAAAATGTATCTGGAATTAGAATCGCACTGTAAGATTATAAGTAAAATTTGTAAATTTTCTGGAATTATAAACCAAACGTAAGGTTTATACGTCCAGATATAAAACGTACGTGGACTTAAAAACCTCTCGTGTAGTTTATAATTCCAGCTGTATCTGTACCTGGACAACGCCCTGCTAGCTGTTGTTTGCTAAGTTAAGCTCAGATTTGCATATTAAAACTACCAAATTAATAGAAAAACTGCTTATTAAATCTTAAAATGGAATTGAAATCTGAGTATTTTTACAAAACTCAAACTATTCATAAGTTAAAAAGTCTTCCAAAGTCTTCTCTGAAACCTATATATATATATATATATATATATATCAATTGCACAAGCTTAAATCTATCTCCCATATTAATATGGTCATGCCGTTTGATGCCGTTTTCGAGATATTTGCGTTCAAAGTTTACTTAAATTTTCATACAAAATTTGGACATGCACAATATTTTTTGATAAACTTTTACATACTTTTGCTCAAAAATCATGTTTATCCTTTATATTATGGGCAGAGTTGTTGAGCAATGAATGAAAACATTATGTAGAAGATGCTTAAAGTATCAAATCAAAAAAAAATAATAAAAAACTTTAAATTGTCTAATGTGTCATAAAAATATTGTGCAAAAGGAATTTTTTAAAACACTTTTTTCAAATCTGAATCATTGTGGAAGCTTAAAAAAGAGAAAAATTGATTCAAAGACGAAATTTTTTAAAAAATAATCCATCTGTTAAATTGCCTTTATATTGTTTTTTTGTGAAGTATAAAAATCCTTAATTTTAGTATAAACACACAGATTCAAAACGTTTGACTATGCAATAGGCCGATAAATCAAAAGTAACGAAACTAATATACATAATAATAATAATGCTCTCTACTGCCGAGCGAGCGAACAAAGTGAATTATTAGGCTACCTTTTCGTAAATAAGTTTTCAAAAATGTGCTAAAAACTTACTCCACACATCTTTTAAAAATGGAATTTTAGTTTTTTAATATTTTTGGTCGAATATGTGAAGAAGCCTTATTTTTCATCAAAAAATTATTTTATAAATATGTAATCAAATATCCTCTTAATTACAATACTTTATGGTACTAAACAGTATTAATAACACCCTTTTGTTCTTGTCTACAAATATCAAATATATTTAATCATTTTACTTCCTCCTTTCTCTTATCATGTCTTATTACATGATTGGAATTCTGATCACGTCAATTTTTATACATACACATTTCTGTGTCCTTTCTTTTCAGTCTTATCATATTTCTTACTATTTCTTTTTAAGGGAGAGAATTTTTCTCAAAATAACATAAAAGAGAGTATAGTATGAAAATTATATACACTGTATTGTTTTTATCACCTTTTCTAGAAATCTGGGCATAAAAATGTTAGCAAAATAAATCCATGTAGCGTGATGCACGTATAATTTTTTTTTCATATCTGTGGATATGTACACGCTTGCAATAAAATAATAAAAAGGAATAGCTGAGATGAGACCATTATAGAATATGATTATTATAAAAAAAAATTGGTAAATACTTTCACTATTCAAAAACAGTGAAAAGTGTATTTATTAATAATTTCGAAATGTGATTCTTGCAATCGACTTTTATTCAAAATGTGAAATGTTTAACAAATTTTTCCGAGTATTATAGAATATATTCATATAGAATATAGAAAAAGAAAAAAAATTACCTGTGGTAGGTTATTTTTAGAACAATTAGATTTAGTACTTTTTTAGTAGTCTTTATTTTTAGAACTTAATCCGTTATGAATTTTAGCCAATCAGAAAATTTTGTTAATTTTCAGCCAAAATCCTTGTGTTGTCTTACAGATTACTATTTTAAACATAAAATAGATACACATTCTTTGTTTAAAACTGTTTATGGATTCAATATTTCATCTGGTTTTTAAAAAATTTCGCGTTTTCTTTTTCAAATATTTTTCGTCAAAATGTAAACAAACATGACGAAGGAAAAAATTATTTTGAGAAATCCCAAAGTCTAGTGAATTAAGCTACTTAATGCTAATTTTTTGAATTTCAAAATGTTTACTGACCCAAAAAGGCTATGAAATAAACTAAGTACTATATTATTTAATAGCAAAATAACTTAAAAATAACAAAACAAATTATGATTAAATAACGTTTTTCCTGAATTTAAATTTTACCGCCCGAAATGTTTAAAAATTCAAATTCAAATCTTTAAAGTTTCAACTGATTTTATAAGCTCTTTGCCGACCACAGAATATTACAAAAAAAGAAAACAAAGAAAAAATCCAAATGCAACGCAAAAAATGTGACATGTGGTGGTAATGTTCTTTTGTATTAAAAACATTGATTCTTTTGTTCGAACTCTTTTAACCTAACCTACCCTTCAATCTTGCTATCTAGTGTATCAAGTGTGTACGTTGAACTGAGTATGATGCTTTTATTTTCATTGAGTTAAAAAGGGAAGAAAAAAAACAGAAGCGCGAGAAGCATTTTGCAGTTTTGATGATAGCGGTTTGAAAATGTTCTTCAACAAGCAATAAATAGTATAAAACTTGTAAACTTGTCACAAACGGCTTTTGTAAATCAAGAACTTCATAAATACAATAAAAACATGTCATAATTTACAAAATTAATTCATAGAATACAAAAAATGAACGTAATTCATAACGTTTAATTAGGAAAAACCTAGTTAAATCAAGCAAGACAATTTTTCAATGGTCTCACAATAATTCAGATTTGAAAAATGTGGTTAAAAATTCCTTGTGCACAAAATTGTTCCGACACATTAGAAAATTGAAAGTTTTTTATTATTACTTTTGATTTGATACTTTAAGCATCTTCTACATAATGTTTTCATTCATTGCTCAAAAAATCAGTCCTTAATATAAAGTAAAAGTTTATCAAAAAATATTGTGCATGACCAATTTTGTATGAAAATTTATGTAAACTTTGAATGCAAAGATCTCGAAAACGGCATCAAACGGCATGAACATATTAATATGGGAGATAGATTTAAGCTTTAAGAAGATTTTAATCTATTTTTAGCGCATTTTTGAAACTTGTTTCTAAAAGGTAGCTTAATAATACTCTTTGTTCGGCTGCTCGGGCGAAGAAAAACTTTTTAACCAGACATCGTAGAGAGCTCGGGTTTGTTGTATTAACTCAGTTCTATCGAGTTATTGGCCGATCAAATATTTTTGAAGTATAAAACAATGGCTTTGTGCTATAACAAATGATTTTTTTTATCTCAGTACTGTGCAACCTGTTCAAATTTTTTGACTCCCTCTATAATTTCAAAATTACCTCTACACCTTGCACTAAAATTAATGGGGCCCGTCAAAAATGAATTCTACGTCATCGGAGACCACTTTTAGTCATTTTTTGCGATTTTTTTCCATGAAACTGTATTTTTTTCTTTATTGGTATTATAGGATTCGCCGAGACAAAGAATTTGACACCATTATCGTTTTTCTAGCATGTCTAGTTCCTTCTGTAGAGCCATTCGAATATCCACCGATGACGTAGAATTTTCGGGAAAGGGTATTTTGAGTGTAAACAACCTTTAATAACTTCATTATTACCAGCTTAAATTTTAGTTTTTCTGTACAAAATTGTGCTATTTCTTCTATTGGTTCATTCAAATTATCATTTTTATCAATAAAATGATTGAAAGTTACTTAAATTAACACTTTAATTTTCAAAATCTTGTAACGAATATCATTTTTTTGAATTTTCTTATATGTTTTTAGTCAACAAAAAAATTCTATTTTTTCGAAAATTGCTGAAAACATAATTAAAACGTAATACAACTCATATTTAAATGTCGATAGTATGTTTCTAAGGTTCTATTTTGTGTTTTAAAAGAGATAAAGTTACAAATTCAAGAGTATTAATTAGATTTTCAGCTGATTAAAGTTTTGGTAATTTTGCTCGAAAATATGAGAAATTTTGAATTTTATTAAACCGTTAAACTGAAATTCCTATTATTTTTGACGGGCCCCTAATGATCTTCTAATCTCCTCATGATCCTGTAAGTCAAGTTAAATTGAATTATTAAATAATTTAATATTTCAAGTTCGAGAAGAATTGGAACTCATTTTTATGAATTCAACTCATCCATGGAATTGCGCATGTGTTAGTAAAATAGTGTTATTGAAAAATTCAAATTATTTTTTTCCGTTGAGCAAAAATCCTAAAATATGAAAAGAAATTTGTTAATTTTTGATTAATTCTAATACCTGAAATTTTTTTTTCAATAAAAAATTTAAAAATTGACTTGCCTATGGGCAATTCCACGGATGAGTTGAATTTCGAAAAAAATAAATTTTTGATCCATGTTCTTTAAAAATTTGATTGTTTCAAAAATAAACTTTAACTAAGCTTACACTTTTTAAAACGAGATAAGGATCTTTATTGACTATTAAACTTTTAGAAACAACATTCTAATCAAAGAAATAATTGTTAATTAAAGTAAAACTTTGCTTTTTGAAAATCATTTTCTCATGGATTTGGCTTAAGCGTTGGTATATTACATGAAATGCATTAAAATTATTCATTTTTCTGACAATTGAGTGCCTTTCAAGCCAATTTAAGTATGCAGAATCATAAAAAAGGATAAAATGAACAGTATAACAACCATTAATAGTTGTCTAGATGTCTTTAAAGTCGTATATTTTTGCTTTCAAACTCAGAATTCAACATCGTGTAATATACCAACGCTCACAAAAATCCAAATATTTCACTAATTAAAGCTTGACGACAAAAGTTAATTATACGTAAAGATAGATCTCGGTGATTTACATAAGTAAGTGTTAAGACTGGAGCTATAAAGTCATTTGTTTGAGAGAAAATTTGATTCAAAGTCGGTTTTTTTGCAAAAATTTATTCATCCGTGGAATCGCCCCTATGCCGAAAAAATTCTGTGTCGATCTCTTATTAAACTTATTCTTTCAAAAAGCCGTTAAAGTTAAATGCAAAAAAAATCATATCCTATTTCCTTGTTATAAGCCATGTTGACAAACAAGAAAAATTTATAATTTTCATTGAAATCTTAAAGTTTTTAAGTCTAAACTATTTTGAAACTATTCAAGCTATTAATTCCTACCATTAAATCAATTTTAAATTATTTTATGTGGTTTAATTAATGGAAAATTGGTTGTGACTTAATAACGGAAAATAAAAATTTTCTTTTTCAAGCTCCTGGCTTAAAAACGAGCAGTAGATTAAAAAAAAATTGAAATGCCCGTGAAAACATGTCAATGTATAAATTTTATTTAAGCCAGAAATTTGAGACAGCAATACAACTATGGTAATGCTGATACATCGAAAAACATTCATTGCAAAGTTTAGCAGAACTTAGCATTAAATATCAAAATATAATTAATTTTGTAAGCTAATTGACAAACCATTAATTTTATTGAGAAATTTATGTAAATTATTAATATTGACATAAACAATTAACAGAAAATTATTGTTTCAAAATCGTCAGTTTTAAAAAAGTTGTTTTTACAAAACACAAAACAATTTTACAATGCATGAATTGTAATAAAATTGTTGTTCACATCCAGATCAACTTTATTTGCTTTAAGATCTAAGAGACATTCAGTCTTAACTTGTCAAAAATAATAAGATCTAATAAACATCTACTATAACATTTTTTGAACTTAATTTTCATTCGAAACAATGACTGAATAAAAAAAAACGCTCACAATAACATTACGATTTTTAACTTATGCACTTAAATTTTATAGCTAGCGAAATTTTACAATAGTTCAAAATAATTCTGTAGACTATATACTTTTTTACTAAATTGATCAGAATGAATTTGAAGTGGTTATTTCTAATTTTTATCTACAAAAGCTATGTTGAGTCTACAGAAAAGCTTTCTAAAACTCAAGAAGACGATTTATTTGAAGTGTACTTGGTAACAAAAACCTTAATTTGAATTAGAAATAAGGATTCCTTTATAAATTATTTTATTAAACCTTTTAGGAAATGTTTAATATTTCATTTGATAGTCATCATCGACAGATATTTTCTTATTCGTTGTCAGACGATTCTCTAACTTCTAAGAAAAATGCAAAAAAGTATTTTCTTCAAACATTTTATTCAATTGAGAAACACAATCGAAGATTTCAAAATGGAAAAGAGACATTCCGTCAAGCAATCCATCAATTCGCACATTTTTCACGAAAAGAGTTTTTGAAATATCGTACAGGATTAGCAAAACCTTCAAATGTTTTTAATTCATTATCAAATAATAATGCTACAATAACAAATATGTCTAAATCTATGCGACTTACATATCCTGAATATTTTAACTGGGTAGATCGAGGTATCGTAAGACCTGTTAGAAATCAGGGATTGTGTGGTGCATGTTATGCTTTTGCAGCATTAGCAGCAGTTGAAGGACAAATGGGATTACAAGGAAACAATGCAAAGCTTTCAGAACAGGAAGTCATAGACTGTGCAACACATGAAATTGAATTTGAACGCATTTTTCTTGGTTGTAAAGGAGGTGACGACACGGCAGTTTATAATTTTGCCAAAATGCATAAAGGTGTGACATCTGAATATGCATATCCTTATCAAATGAGGGTAAACAGATGTAATACTAATCGATCTAAAGTTCATGGATCAACAGTAAGAAGCTATGTAAAATTACCAGTTAATGAAGAATATATAAAAGAAGTTTTATTTTTACATGGACCTCTTTATGCTTCATTTCATGCATCAGATGCTTTCACGGCTTATTCAAATGGAATTTTTACAGATCCAAATGGAGACTGTTATGGTGAAAAAAGTAACCACGCTGCTTTATTAGTTGGATGGGGTAGCGAACATGGTCTTGATTATTGGATATTGAAAAATAGTTATGATACTTGGTGGGGAGAAGGTGGATATTTTCGTATAGCAAGAGGATACAATCTTTGTAACATTGCAAGCGATGTTTCATATCCAATTATCAATTAGACACAATTTTTAAAAAACATAAAACAAAAATTAAAAATTTATATTAAGTATTGTATCAGGTAGAAAACCAAAAAATACATACATTCACACCGTACCATTGCAAGTTTTGTTACTATGATTTTTGACAAATTTAAGTCATTTGCAGACGAAGAAGTCTTGAAGTATCTTGTATGGAGTGTAATCAACTTTCGTTAACCAATTTTTTGTCATTTCTTGTAAACAAAATTTTTGATATATTATTTTGAATTAAGTTAACTTAAATAACTTATTGATTTTTATAATGCAAAAATTGGGTTTATTTTTAGTGCTTAATTTTTTTTTTTAAAATGAATATTTTTTTTGGAATTTGTTGAAGAAGCTGGCATGAAATATATTCAAAAAATTACAATTTTTTGTTAATTTTTATTTAAAAATCTTGAAATCTAAAATTTTAGCTGAGAGTTTTTAAATAGAAAATGAACTCAAGGGATTGGAACTCCCAAAAACTTGCAAGTTTTGTAAAACCACAAGTTTCCCTAAATTTATGAAAAATAAATATTAACATTTTTTAAAAAATTTCGTACTTTAGAGAAATTTCAAAATGACTACATGTAGAATAGATCTAAAATTTCGAGAGATGAAGGAAAGATAGTGTTTTTTTTCCTGAATCACATTTCATTCATTAAAAAAGTTTTGACTTAATCAATCAATAATGATGCAGAAATATTATACAGAACCAGAAAATGCCAGAAAGCTTCTAAATATTTTTCCATTTTAGTTTGATGCCTTTTACATACATCAATGAGTTTAACTCAAGAAATTGAATTTTTATAATTTTTTTTTAAATTATTTTAAAAAATTTGTAAAACTTGCAAAACTTGTGAATCTTGTGGAACTACAGAAACTATTTTGTTTATTGAAAAGTATTTTTATATAAAAATAAGTATATTAAAGTGTTTTTAAGCCTTATTGTCGTTTTTTTCATACAAAATACTTCTGGTTACCCTAATAGGCAAAGAGCATGCTCACAAATTTGAGCACATGCGAGAGCATACTCAATTATAGAAATTTATGTGCTCAAATGAACGTACTCTCATGAGAACATAATGAGTACAAAAACGTAGTATACTCAATTGAGTACATTCATTGAGTACGCTCTCTAACATACTCTAAGTACATCAACATGATACAAAAAAGTTTTCTTTATGTGCTCTCTTGAGTATACTTATTGAGTATGTTCTCTCTCACATTGTGAGTATGACAAATAAGAGTGTAATTTTAAAGACAGTATACTCTCGTCAGTATACTCTTCAAGTGTACTCAAGCGCATATTCAGAGCATATCTTTCTGATAATTCACATTTAAATACATTATGCTCATCTGAGTACACTTTCTGAGTGCACTCTCAAATGTACTCTGAGCACGTCTTTGTAATAAGTTTATGTAAGAAACATTATGCTCATCTGAGTACACTTTCTGAGTGCACTCTCAAATGCACTCTGAGCATGTCTTTGTAATAAGTTTATGTAAGAAACATTATGCTCATCTGAGTACACTTTTTGAGTGCACTCTCAAATGTACTCTGAGCATGTCTTTGTAATAAGTTTATGTAAGAAACATTATGCTCATCTGAGTACACTTTCTGAGTGCACTCTCAAATATACTCTAAGCACGTTTTATTAACATGTCACATCCAATTGGATTATACTTAAATTCTCACACTTAACAAATATTTACTTCCAAGAATCTCTAGGTTTAATTTAAAAAAAAAGTTTATAAATATCAGTTTGAAATCGTTTGTATGCTTCAGCACTGTACTTTTGTATTGGAAAAAAAATTGTCGAAAAATGAAATTTTTGCAATATTTTCCTTCCGATGCAGTTATGACCAAAATTTTGATTGAAACTGATGAGAATCATGATTTAAGACCTTTTGACATCTAAAAATTTTTACTTGGATGCTTCAGTTCCTTTAAATTTTACTTTTTCAATTTCGTTTGTGGAGTACTTGGAAATTTCATCACAGTAAACATTTTTGGGTTTTCACGTGTGAATTTATTGGTTTTGTTCAGATTGAAAAATGAGTTTTTTGAACTTTGTGAGGATATGGAGCAGGATAACTTAACATGTTCTAAGATGAAAAAATTTGTGCCTGGAATTTCACATCTTTTGCAAAAAAATAGATTTCAAATTGGTTGCGGCATTGCGGAAAAAATCGCAAAATACGCTTTCTGTAAGCAAACAAGCAAGCAAGTTAATCATCAAGAAATCTCAATAACGAGACATCGTAGAGACTTCTAGTTTTTTACATTTGATCCGTGCTACTCTATAGAAGAGCTGTATTGTTTTTAGGCAAGGTAGGAACAGCCGTTGCTTCGGAAAAATCAAAAAAATTTCCTTTCTCACGAATTTTTCAAAACAAAAGTTCACTGTGATTTTTATAAAATTAATCTTTGGATGAAAAAAAAATTTTAAAAATCTTTCAAAGAATGTTCGTTAAGCTTTAAATCTTCAAACATATGCTGAGCGAAGCTCAGCTGACGCGCTAGCTTCATACCTTCAAATTTATACTGAGCGAAGCTCAGCTGATTCACTAGCTTCATACATTAAACTTATGGATAACTTGGATTTCTACCCGATACACTAGTTCCTAGCAATTTTTGCTTTCACCCCCCCCCCCCCCCTGAGGATTTTAAACTATCTCTACATATAAGATTAATAAGATTACAAAAGGATTAAAGTTTGTATTAGGTTTCCAACCCTTAGAATCCAAAATGCCGTCGGTTATATATTCAGGAACAACCACTTAACCTACATGCCAAATTTCAGATTAATAGTTTAAAAGATACAAAATTATGGCAAAAAAATAATTTGGTTTGAAAAATGTATGGAAAAAAGTGAATAACTCCGTGAAAACCTCGGAAAACGCGTGGAAATATATGAAAATGGAAAAATTTATCATAAAACATCATGATCTATCAAAAAAGTGTAAAAAAGAATGAAAAAAAAGTTACTCACGGTAAGGCCTGAATCCGTGACCAATGAGTTGTGAGAAAATTCACCTTTTTAAGGGCTACGTAAAAATACTACGTAAAACGTAAGGTAAAATTTCAGAAAAAGTTAATTTAATTAACCTTCCTTTCAGACGGTCGGACAAAACGCAAGCAATAGCGTCATTTAAATTTTAAAATTTAAAATCAAAGTTAAATGTGTTATTTGCCAAAAATTTTACATAAGGTAACACAATTCGGTGGAGTAGAGGTAGCAACGCAGAATTTATCTAAGAACACAGCGACCAGAGGTTCGAATCCCGGTAAGATTTATAAAATTTTCATTAATCATTTCTTCTTTCTTTCTTTCTTTCATAGCTTTGAAAATTAAACAACAAAATAAAAAAAGGACGCATTAATTATGTAAAATAATAATAAAAAAAAGTTTCAAAAAATAATAATTTTTATTTATTACGTTCTTTAAAGTACACTCAAAGTATACTCTTTTGAGTACATCAATAGTCAGATTAATATCTACTTTTATGAGTATATTAAAAGTATGTCAAACCTAAGTATGCTCATTTGAGCATATGTTTTATGTGCTTAATTGAGCATAAAGTGTGTCACATGTGACATGACACATAAAAAAATGTTTTATTTCAAGAGTGTGCTCAAAGTATAACTAAGTGAGTACGCTCAGGTGAGTACACTTTTAGGCGGAAAGTAGTTACATAGTGTACTGTTTTAGGGAAGTACATAAATATTCCATCTATGTCAATGGAAAATGTGTGGAATACTTTGGTTACGTGGGAAACCAAATTTGAAAAAAATTTGACACCTCATTTTTCAAGTTCCGATTGCCTAGTAAGGAAAATAACAAGAAGTTTAATAATAAAGACTTGTCATGCACTGAAGGGATTCGATAAGCATGTCGGAGTAACTTTTACAAATTATTATGGAGAGTGTCAAATAAACCGAATAAAAGATCATACAGCATTATTTATAGGATAAGGAACAGAAAATGGACACGATTATTGGATTATAAAAAATAATTGTGTTCATGAAAATGAAATATATATAAGTCCACTTTTTGCATTTTACTATATATCTCATGTGGGCTGAACTATTTTTAATGATTTTGGTATCGTTGGAAAACTTAAATAAGATGCTACAATGTTGAATAAAAGTTTGGATTTTATTTAAAATAACAGAAATACAACTTTTCTCAAGAAATGCCTTTTATAGGTGCAACAATTATTTTTTTATTACGCATATCCATAATGCTCGAATAACACAAAACTCTTTTGTAACAGATATTATAATGAAAGGATAAAACCGTTCTCACTTATCTTACATTAATATTGTTCTAAATTGTATCATTCCGTCCACTCTTTCTCAAAGTTTTCTTTTTTGATGTCTTTGTCTTCAACTAAGTACACGTTCCAAAAATAAATTTTCATTATTCTAGATGGAGAACTTTAATGTACGAGAGCAAAACAAGAAGTTTTAAAAACTTTATGAATTTAATATGTTTAAAAATAAAATGAAATGTGTATGTATATGGGATGAAAAAGGTAACAACGTAAAGTAATTAATTTTTGTGGATAAAAAACTTTTTTTACTTCTCCCCATTAGACTTTAAAAAGCTATATGAAAATGCGAGTGAAGCGGTTTTTTTGTGTGACAAACTCATGGGAAATCATTATGCACACCTAAAAAGTTTTTTGTGTTCAAACCGCCAATTTTCTCTCGTTCCATTTTACTCTCTCCACTGTCATCACCATTATCACATCATATAAACACAAAATATTGAGCTTCATAAAACTTTTTTATGTACTGAACTCATGTTCATTCTCTTTATTCACTTCTCTTTTACTTTGTGTCGTCTATTAACCTCACAAATTACATTTTAATTAAATTTTCAATGCTCTTGCATTGCCATTGATGGGGTGGAAACGAGTGAGAAAGAAAAAAGGTTTCCTCGATAAGCATTATGCCTTTATGACTGGGCAAACCCTCTGACATTACATGCTTTTATGCATTTACCATTTTTGTGACTTGACTAATCATTTGTTTTATCTTTACAAAAATTTCAAAGATACTGCCGTGTAGTAAAAGCTTCAACTTTCTCATTCACACATATATTATTGCTATTATTCAAAGATATTTGAAATTGAAAATTTTCATTTTCTTAGAATAATAATAATATATAATAATAATAATAATAATAGTTTATTACCAGAGGTATTTAGATAATTTGACATGTATAGTACAACGATACAGAATGTGAAGAGATAATATAATAAACAAAACATTCACACGTGAAAACGGTGTGAATATAAACATTTAGAAAATTTATTATTTGTTAAAAATGAGGAATTTGAGCATGACATATATGTGCTGGGCTGCGTCAAAAATAAAAGGAATTTCAAAGCAACGGTTCAAAAAAAATTGAAAATTTCCTAAAATTTCCCGCATTTTTGAGAATATTTGCCAAAATCTAATATCTGAAAATCCTATTAATACACATCGATTCCTAACTTTACCGCTTTTGCCACAAAAAATGGAACATAAACTAGTGTATCGGGTAGAAACCCAATGCGGATTATATTCACACCGTACCATCAAAAGTCTTATGGATAGACCAAGATTTGTCCAGCATAAGTATTAAGGTATGAGGCTTGATAAGTTAACTGAGCTTCGCTCAGCATAAGTTTTGAGATATAAAGCTAGCAAGTCAGCTGAGCTTCGCTCAGCAGAAGTTTGAAGTTTTTTTTTTTGTAAAATTCGTGAGAAAGGAAAAGTTTTTGCTTTTTCTGAAGCAACGGCTGTTCTTACCTTGCCCAAAAACAATACAGCTCTTCTATAGAGCAGCACGGATCAAATGCAAAAAGCTAGAAGTCTCTACGAT